AACTTGGCCTTAAGGCTGTCGAAGGGACCTTGGCCTGCAGATTAGAAGCACACAGAGAATGAGAGAGAGCATTCACCTAGTTAATTTCACATGTAACACAATGGTAAAAGCCCTTTCACTTAAACATGCACATACCTGCGGATTAGAAGTACACAGAGAATCAGAGAGAGAGAGCAGTGTTTGCAGCCTGCAGCTTAAATACCCCTTGGAGTGAAGCATCTGAATCACACCTGTCCTCAATCAGTAACTGCTCCACAGCCATTGGCTCACTGCAAGTAAAGTTCCTCCACCCACACACAGAGAGACATCACCACTGCACACACAAACCACACCCGATCAGTGCCACTAGACTAAAAGTAAGGTAAGATGAAGCGCCGATACAGTCTACCCTTATACTGGGTCGTTTCTGGAAGACCAAAATTCTATTTTTTCCAGATTAACCGTCAGGGCCCAGGTCTGACAGAAGCTTTGCAGATGATCCAGTTGCTGTTGTAATGCTTACTTGGATGGAGCTAACAATATTAGATCATCTGCAAAAAGTAGGCTTTAAATTTTTGTGTCAGACAATAAAAATGGCAATATAAATGTTACAGGGTGGAGCTAAGACTGTAGCCCTTTTTTATCCCTCTACTTTGGGGGAAAGAAATCTGTTTCCATATTGCCAATTTTCACAGCTTATTTATTAAAAGTATATGTGGGTTTTAATTATATCATAGGTTTCCCCCCTACACCCTTTTCACTTAATTTCAGGGATCGTCTGTTGTGCAAAACTGAGTCAAATGCTTTTTTCGAAATGAGAAGATTTTGTTTTTTTGTTGACATGTTTGTTAATGAGGGTGTAGAGAGTATCGAGTGTAGATATGATCTGTAGCGCCTCCTTAGTGAGTTGATAGTCTGAAGGATTTTGATTGTCTTCAATGACTGATTGGAGAATTTGTAATTTTATATTAATTTTAAAAATATTTGAGTCGATGGATTCTACAATTAAATCAAGTTGGTACTGTGTATATTGTTACTTTGCAGATGTGAGTGTTCCTCAGTATAATTTTAGTGTTTCCCAATACTGGAGGCGAAGCTCATGATTGTCAGGTTGTCTGTGTTTTTGATTTGATAAGCTTCTGAGTATTTTTCTCAGATATCTGCAGTCTGAGTCAAACCACTTTTCATTGGTTGACTTTTTCACCTGTGATGCTGAGACTTTTACAGATTGGATAAATCTGATACCTTGTCAAATATATACTAAATGTCCTGTACAGCCTGATCCAGGCCACTGTTACTGTGGTGGTATGAGGCTGAAAAAAAAGGTCTAATTGTGATTGAATTATCTAATGTCTGACTGCTTTCTGGTAGTCGCTGTTTGTCCATCTGTTGGGAACATAAATTCGGGCTTCACATGGAGGCACCAAAATGTTGGGAACATAAATTCGGGCTTCACACGGAGGCACCAAATATGTAGGGATTTAATTGGCTATCAGAAATAATTAATAATTATTAATAATAATTAATAATTATGTTAAATAATGTGACTTAATTAACATTAAATCACCTCGTGGGGCACCATTCCCGTAAAGGGAAAAATGATAGCCAGTTAAAGATATCAGTCTCATAAAATAGGCTAAACTATTAATTTGGAGTTTGATTAATAATTAAATTAATGACAACAACCAAAATTAACAGTAACGCCTGAAGGATTTCGGAGTTCTTGACGCAGCAGAGGTTGACTATTCATTCACTCTTATGCAACATTAAACAGACAGCAGGTATGATTACAAATAATTATATTTATTCACAAACTAGCAAAGCAAACCATAACAAACAAATTCAGACTAACTATATACAAGCTTGGTGTGTATATATGTGTGTGTGTGTGTGTGTGTGTGTGAGTGTGTGAGAGAGAGAGAGAGAGAGAGAGAGAGAAAGAAGAGAAAGAAGAGAAAAAAAGACAAAGGCGGGTGTGGTGATCAAAGAGCCGTTTGGCCTACAAAACAAAATGGCTGACAACAGAGAACTACTAAAATGGCCGAATCAAGGCTGGCTTCAGGTAGGGGGAGGTGTTTGTCTGACCGTGTGGTCAGGACAAAGACAAAGGAAAAGAAGCGGGAACTTTGAGATGCCTGTTTGGGTGTAGCTCTGTTGTAAGCCTATTTGTTAATGAGTCTATGTGAATGTGATTTGTGTTGCAAATGGTCTGTATTAGTGCAGAGATTGTTTAGTTGTGTGCAAGAATCTGTTGGTGAACAGTATTAGCAAACTAAACACTTAGCTTTGGCGAAGCCAACTAATCAGTGACCTTACTGCAAACTATCACAACAATAACTTTCTTTTTGGATATATACATTGAAAGCGACCCAATATCCAGGTTTAAATGGAGAACTGGACTTTTCTCCCTTTTTGTAAAGTGTTTGGGCTCCCTGTATTATAAGGCATATTGTTTTCTTTGTTTTTGGTATTATATATTTTTTGAGGGTTGTCTTTTTTCTTTATTCCTTTTTTTTTTCCAACTAAATAAATCATTTGCATTCTAAGGTCATTTAGAAAAGGTTCGAAGATGTTTTTGAGAACATAGTCATAGTCTTGAGAAATAATTGTTAGATCTTCTATCTTAAAAATTTTACTTATATAAATTAAAACAATGAATTATTTACTTTATTTATTTATTTATTTTTTATTTTTTATTTTTTCTTCTGCCTGGCAGTGTTTTTATGCCTTATACACTTTGAAGATATTACTTTAAAACTGAAACACTTAAAAAATTGAAAAACTTAAAAAAATAGAACTTTAGAGATGTTTCCATCTTTGAGAATCTTTGGTATTTTGTATTATTGTTGTTATTTTTGTTATTATTGTATATTTCTCTCCTGCTTGTGATGTTTTGATGGTATGATATGTGTTCTCTCTGTTGCTCCTAATTGATCTGTTTGCTCACCCCAATCAGGTGAAGAGATTCCACCTGGCCACGCTGATCATGTGACTGTTTACTAGTGTTAAGAGGTTGTCTGAAGGAGAGTCTCTT